GGGGAAGGGAACCAGCCCCCCACACTGCTTGGCTCAGAGGGACTATGGAAAAGGTCAGGACTGCCCCACCTGTTTTAGGAGTCATTAAAAACCGTGTAATGTGTGAGATGTGTGTCCCAGATGCTAACCTTCAGTTCATTCATTTTTTCTTTCTTTTTTTTCCTCTCTTCCCCATTCTACTCTCTGTGTCTTGCAGTTCACTCTCCTTCCTTGTCAAGTTAGAGCAGCTGGACCTCGGTGGCAATGACCTGGAAGTACTGGTAGGTGAGGGATGGTGGGGAGGGAATGTGGGTGGTTGGTAGGGGCAGAACCCTCTACCTCTGTGGAAGCAAGTGGTTTTTCATCTGAAATGCAAAGAAATGAACCCTCTAGTTGTTTGGGAAGACTCTGATCTGCCCACCACGGCCGAGTCATCATTCCCAGCATAGTGTTCTCTTCATGTGTTGGCCCCTGTGTCTTGCTTCCTGCTGTCCTCACGCACAGCTCGCTCTGCTCTGTCCAAGCCCTTCTGCTCTGGGATGTTTGTTCTTGCTGTCCAGCTGCCTGAGGATCTTTCCTTTCCACTGAGACTGTTTGGTCCTTCCTTCCTCCTGTCTTGCACTGCCCCCAGCTGTTGTTTTCCACTTCTGCCAGGCCAACTTTCTGCCTTTCTCCTTTCTGATTTGATTTCTCTGCTAGAAAGTGCAGGACCATTCCCTGTTGTCCCTGGCAGAGAAGTCAGCCACACATGGGGTGTGTGCCCGCTGGACTGGAGTGCCCTCATGGAGCACTCTGAGCATGCTGAGACACGGCGCACGGTCTCAAAATGCAGCTTGTCTTGACATTCAGAGACATCCAGTGATATTCTTTAATTTTGCAGATATGGATTAAGCTGTTACTAAGTCCTGCTCTTGATGTTCTGGAATGTTTTTTGTCAGAAACTGTCTACATTGGGAGGCAAAGGAGCAGTTTGTGCAGCTTGCTGTGCATAAGGCTGCAGCTTTCTTGTTGAGAACAGTTGTCTGACACTTAAACCGCACTTCAGCGGTGCGTTAAGTCCAAGCCCAAATGCCAATCGCTGTGTGTGGTGTTTGGGGAGTGATGCTATGAACATATGTCTACTGCTGCTGATGCTGCATCTATGTTGTGTTGGGTTGGCCGGTGTTATCCAAATGTTTGTTTTACATCTGAGAGGAGGAAGAGGAGAAAGACTAATTTCTTCTGTAAGGCCAGAATTTCCAAAACCCTGTTTAGTTCTTGTCTTGCCTGCTACCAGACAGCCCTTGCTGTTGTCTTCTGTGCTTCCTGCTGGGACCTTTTGCAGCCAGTATGCCACCCCAGACATTTCCAAACGTACGTGCCACTATATTGTGGCACACCAACACGTTAGCTTCATAAACCGTTTGGTGGATGGTTCTAGGAGGTGTGAAAGCAGTGTCTAGCTTTGTGGAGGTGTGGTGTGATCTGTAGCATCCTAGAGCAGCTTCTCCCCTGTGGAAGGGACTGATGGTGTTACTGTCCTGCTCTGTTACAGCCAGATACGCTGGGAGCCCTACCAAACCTGCGTGAGCTTTGGTTAGACCGGAACCAGCTCTCGGCCCTGCCTTCAGTGAGTACCTCTTCAGAGCCATTGCTTCCCCATTTGCTCCCTTCCTCAGCTGCTCCCTCGAGCCATAGCGTCTCCTTTCTGATCCTAGGAGCTGGGCAATCTCCGCCGCTTGGTCTGCCTGGATGTGTCTGAGAACAAGCTGGAGCAGTTGCCCAACGAGGTCAGTGGGCTAGTAGCACTGACGGACTTGCTCCTGTCACAGAACCTGTTGGAATGCATTCCGGATGGGATTGGTGAGTATTGCGGGATGGGCAGCAGTGCAGGACTTCACTATGCCGGCAGTGTTTCCGTTGGGGTCCTTCAGGCAGGAGTGTGTGTAACCAGGTGTTAGGGCTTGATGGACCTATTCGCTGTAGTTGAAGTGCAGAAGCAGTGGATGATACTGGTGAGCAGAACTCTACGGGATGAGTTCAAGTTCTTGATCCGCATTGTGCTTGTGAACAAAACGGGTGGGGAAGGAAAGGCAGTACCTGTGTGGTTAGGTTACGTGATCCCTGATGGGAGGCATTTCAGCCAAGTGAACACGGAACAGCATCATTATTGCTGTGGCAGAGTTAACACCGAGCTTGTTGCCCTGGCCAGGTCAGCTGAAGCAGCTCTCCATCCTCAAGGTGGACCAGAATCGGCTGACAGAGGTGACAGAGTCAATTGGGGACTGTGAAAATCTGTCAGAACTCATCTTGACAGAGAACATGCTGACAGTAAGTACACCAACAGCCACCCTGCCTCTCTGTGCTGTTCAGTTCAGCTATGTGCCAGGGATCTTTTCCCATCTCCTGGCCTCTGCACCAGATTCCTGAGTGTGCTCCAGCTGCTCTCCCCTCAGCTGCTTTGCACAGTTTCACCTGGCTCACAGGCTCTCGAGAAGACTCTGGTGGATACTGCATTCTCTCACTGTTTTTTCTCTCTGAAGAATTCCCCAGGATAGCTAGGGTGCTGGCTCTAGGACAGCCAGTCCAGGAGCCCATCCGATGTGATGGGAGCAAGGCTATGTGAAAAGCTGCCTTTGGCGAGGGGCCATGGAGTAGTGTAATTTAAACTGGCCCTGCTCCAAACTCTCATGATTTTCTGGTTAAAACACAAGTATTGGGAACGAATAGATGAACAGGAGAAAAATCCTGACCAGTGGTGTTCTGAACATGCTGTGCTGAGGTGGAGAGCTGGCATGTAATAGTCTCTGAACCTGAGGGAAAATCTGTCCCAAAGTTGTAGTGAGAACTTAGTGAAAATTTGCCTCTTAGGACAGAAGGCAGCTTTACCCCCCCCCCCAGATAGAAGGCTTTATGCCTTTATACTTTTATTCTTGTGTTCTTATCTTTTGCAACTACCGAATCATCTCCTTCCTAGGCCTTACCGAAGTCCCTCGGCAAGCTGGCCAAGCTGACAAACCTGAACGTGGATCGGAACCGGCTAACGTCCCTTCCAGCTGAGATCGGAGGCTGTGCCAATCTGAACGTGCTGTCCTTGCGAGACAATCGCCTGGCCCTCCTGCCTCCAGAGCTTGCCAACACCACTGAGCTCCACGTCCTGGACGTGGCTGGGAACAGGTCAGCAGCAGGAAGGGTGAAGAGGCTTCCAGGCGTGTTCCTAAGGGGGCTGCTGGGAACGGGCAGCATGGGCTGGCCCTGGTGTGTTCTGAGAGACGCTGGGTCTGTGCTGGTCCCAGGATCTGCAGTTCAGAGAAGCCCAGACTGGCTGCTCAGGGCTCTGGAAAGAGGATGTGTGTCTCTCAAGCTTTGCCTGTTAAGTGCTTCTCTGTGCTACTTGAATACAGGGTAGAGCTGATGCAGAAGTGTGGGGGCACTTTGCCATGTGTGACACAAAGATCAGCAGAAATCCTGGGTCCACTGTCTGCCTTCCTGCAGATTTTGTAGTTCTGTGTCATTAGTCCTCAGGTAGTCAGTGCCAAAGCCTTACGATGTGCAGCAGACATCTCTCGGGCTAGAGGCACTGGAAGCTGTCTCCGGAGGAGCACAGTGTTTGTTCAGGCTTTTCCCAGACCTGCAGAAAAGCACCTCCTTCTCCTCCTCCTCTCATCAGCACTCCCTGCCAGCACACATGCTCGTGAGTAGCTTTCATCACGACACACAAGCTCTAGGGTGGCTTTCGGCTGTATCTGTTCTCTGTGCCAAGACTGGTCAGCCTTCAGCCCCTTGTACTGGCCTGAAGCGAGGACCAGGCTTGCTGTCAGTTCTGTGCAAATACAAGAATATTGGTATTTGCTTCATTCCAGGTATCTGAGAGCTACACCAGACACACCTGGTTCTTACTGCTCAGGCTTCCTCTCCAGCCAGTGCCAGCCCAGTTTCTCCGGTGTTTGCCAATGTGGCCCGTGTGCCAGGGCAGTTCCAGGTGCCTCACTGGGACTGTCAGCGTTTATGGAGCAAAATCCAGTCCAGTGAGGAGCCACTCAGGCTGCTACAGGTCTGCAGTTAACACAGGGATGGAGGTGCTTTTCTTTCTGGATTTGCATGTGATTCATTGACTGTTCCTGTATTCTGACTATGGCGAGGTGAAATTTCTGGCAGGTGCCATGCTACATGCAGCAGTTTAGTGATTTGAAGCTTTGATATTTAGAAAGCCTGGAATTCGTAGACTAGAGGTAGAAAAGTTAAAAAACTTTAATTAAAAAATAAAACAAAACAACCCAGATCTCTATGATCTGGTGTGAAAGATTTTGCAGATTTTAGCTGCAGTTGTGTTAGCTGAGGCTGGTATTTTTTGCAGCAGTTGGAAGGTGACCAGAGCTGCTGTCTGGAACGCTCTCTGTTTACTGGTCAGCATCATTTTTCTGTCTTCAAATTCCTCTTCAAAGTTCACCATTCCCACATTGTTGTTGAGAGTTGCTGAAAACTGATGCAGGTGGGTTACTGGAGTCCAGTCCGTGGCCGTGGCAGAGCCATGTGCAGCATCAGCCAGCTGTGAGGGGTCCCACAGTGGCTTGCCTCCGTCCTTCCCCGATGCAGGTGATGCAGGCTGGAGCTGAGCTGAAGTTCCTTCATTACCAAGTAAGTTTAAGCAGCAGTTTTTCTTTTCTCTTGCAGGCTGCAGAACTTGCCATTTGCTTTGACCAATCTGAACCTGAAAGCCCTGTGGCTGGCAGAAAACCAGTCCCAGCCCATGCTGAAATTCCAAACGGAGGATGATGAAAAGACAGGAGAGAAAGTTCTCACTTGTTACCTGCTTCCCCAGCAGCCCTCCCCTAGCCTAGGTAAGAGACTGGATTGTGAAAGCTGCCTGCTCTACCCTCTACTCTGGAGAGTGCTGTAGGGAAGGGATTGTGAACCCTCCTCTCCTCGATGCTCAGTTGGACTGTTCTTCGCTACTGTGATACCTCTAGGCTCGTGAATGGCTGGTGGCAACTTTCCAAGGCAGAGATTGTTAAAACCAAGAAACTGCTGCTCTGCCAAGTGGTAAAGAAGCTGCGCCTAGCCTTCAAGTCTCCCGCTTTGATCTATTGACCGAGTTGTTCATTGTCTGTAAGGTTTGCTTCCTGTCGCGATGATATTCTTGTGTCGATACTTCTGATTCGTGCTGTTATCCTACCTTTTTCCTTTGTTCTTGGGTGAGGAATGCTAGAGCTGAACCGTTCAGTACCTTTTGTAGAGGCTGCTGCAGATCTGGTGGGAGCTGTACAGGAGGTGGCAAGATCTGGAGGCTCCATCCTTTGTCCTCAAGCCCTCTGTGGTTTGATGCCGTGGGCAGATAAAACAGAAGTGCCCCAGTGGGTTGAGAACTGTCTTTCATCCAAGCCTACTGCCCTGTTTGTTTAGCAAGCAGCTCCCACTGTGTTCTCTTTCTCCGCAGAGAATCTTTTGCAGAACAGTGTGGATGAGAGCTGGACGGACACCAACTTGAACAGAGTCAGTGTGATTCAGTTCCTGGATGAACCCAAAGTAGATGATGAAGAGGAGTCTGGAGCTGAGAGACGGGTAAGAAGGAGAGTTTCTGGAGGCTTCTTAGCTCCCTGTGGAAACATAGGCACAATCTAAACTTTTTTTTCAAGATGGGGAACCACTGTGGTGTTCATGTTTCACAGCCCCTGTAATATTCTTGTAGTCGCATACCATATTCTTGCAGTCTCATACTTTATTTTTGCAGTCTGAAGGGCATTTGGTGCCCTGAGGAGACAAACAGACACAAAAGAGAATTCTCTGAGAGCCTTTGTGCAGATTTACAGTGTGACAGTTGTCCCGCAGGAGTGGAGCTGTGGCTGCTCACCTGCCCATGGAGCATTCAGAGTCCTGACAGTCAGAGCAGTGCAGGACTGGATTTTATTTGACTCCCCTGCCAAGGGGAAGAGCTGCACAGCCAACCTGGAGCCAGGCAATCTCCACTCCTCTGAGCACGGAGCCAGACGCGTGCCCGTTCTGTGGAGTATCCCGTTACTAAATAGCTGAACGCTAAAGCCAGCCAGCCTCAGAAGCTGTGGCAGATCATTTTGCTTCAATTGCAGATGCAAAGGATAGGATAAAAGTTTCAGTTTTCAGCAAGTACTCTGTTGGTTTAAATATCTTGCAGGATTTTTTTTCCTTTTTTATCTCATGGAGAGAGATTCTCTTGAGATCCAAATCCTAATAAATTGTATTTGCATCTTTGCTTGCAGCATGGATATGCTGCTGGTGTTTGGAGGTTTTGTGGGGGTTTTTTGGTTGTTTTTAACGTTGTTATTAATTGTAGCATACTGATTTTCTTGACTCTTAGCTGGGATGGAGCTAGCTAACATCACAAATTCTGCTAGCGTATAGGCTTGTCAGACATGTTAAGAAACACTGGAGGGATTAAGGAGATATTCCATCTGTGTGTTCCTTTAGGGGTTTCTGTATTGACAGTTTCACATTTACTAAGCCTGAAGCACAATTTAAAACTTGCTGTCTGTGTAACTCCTCCTGATCCCTCTGTCAGATGGAGAGCAGGATAGTGTCTGAGTGTGATCTGCCTCCACCTCTTTCCAGCTGCAACCTGCAGTAGTGGAGAAGCTCGGATCAAATCCTGCAGCGTGACATTTGGGTCACGTCCAGCCGGGGCTCCACCACTCTGATAAAACATGTTATTTGAACCGGTTTGGTCTCGAGGCATGGCATGTGCTGCTCTGGCTGTTGAATCTCCTGCTCTGAGTGTTTTTTCTTTGGCAGGGCTTACAACGCAGAGCAACCCCTCATCCCAGCGAGCTGAAGGTGATGAAGAAGGTGATTGAGGTTCGGCGCAATGAGTGTCATGCTGCAAAGCCTGTCATGGACCCAACTTCTCCTAACTCCGAGGTGCGTGCTGTTCACTGAGAAATGCATAACCATAGAGCACGTTGGGAGGCAGTGCATGTAGCCTGGGAAGAAATAACTTACTTTTGGGAAAGATGGGAAGGGACTGAGCATGGTTGCCTGGATTCCTGGCGACTGAGCGTGGGTTGCCTGGATTCCTGGGGCTGGAATCTGCCTTGTGGTGTCAGCTGAGGCCACTGAGATAGAGCAAGAGATGCAGCCAGGATCCAGAGAATGGCGTAAGGGGAACTGTGTGCCTTGGTACCACTGTTGTCATAGCACAGGGAGAGGAAAAGAAGGCTCTGATGTTCCCAGTAAAGAATGATGGAAACAGAGTCCTTGGGAGAGGCATCTGGTGTCACCCAGGTGTGATCCTAAGAATAAATGCCTGCAGAGATGGTGGAACAGGGGCAGACCTAGGGGAGGTGCAGCGGGCAGCCTGAAGAAGCAGCTGATTCTGTTGGTACTGGATCACACTCCACCTCGCAGCAGTCACACTACATTGCTCCATCTGCTGCTTTGGTTTCCATCTTGACTTTTACAATCTTCTTCCCAGGAGAAGAGGCTGAGCGGCACGTCTAATCGCAGCGAGGACTCCCACCTTTCCAACAGCACTGCCTCTGCTGACTGCAAGGGAGAGGAGCAGGGAGAGGAGGGCGAGAGGAGCTGGCCAAATGGGCAAGTGCCGGAGATGCAGGAGCTGGAGAAGGAGGCAAAGCCCAGAGCTGAAGAGGAGCATAAGGAAGCCGCTGACCAAGAGGAGGAAGATGTGGAAGTGGAATACAATGAGGTAGGAGCCTAGGAGATGCAGCAGGGTCATGATAAAAACTGGAAGGACTTAAAAGTTTCGGAGAAAATAGTAAATGGACGTACCAAGTGTGATTTGGGCATCACTGGAGACAACTACAGGCCATGGAAGCCAAGTGCAAGTAGAGATTCAGGCAGCCTGTGGGAGCTGGGTCCATGGGAGATGAGGAAGGACAGTGTGGGGGCCAGACAGGAACTGTGGGGAAATCAGGGTTACAGGTTTGAGTGCCCTCAATCCCTGGAGCTGACGGAAGATGTGTCTGGGTGAAGGAGCTGATATGGAAAAAGGCAAGTATGGTGGAATTTTAATGTGTGTTCCTGCATCTTCTGTAGCACAGAAGCAGCAGCACTGGCTTTGCCTGTGTTGGTAGTGGGGGGATGGCAGGTTTCTGCACTGCCTCCAGGTGTGGCTTTTACCTGGGGGTTCACAACCGTTCTGGGACTTTGCCGTTGTAGCCCACGGTACACTTTGCTGAGGACACACTAATACGGAGCGAGGATGAGGATGAAGATGAAGAGCGACCATTCCCAGTGGAGAAGCAGAGGCTTATCCGGAAGGACACGCCCCATTATAAGAAACACTTTAAAATAACTAAGCTGCCCAAGCCAGAGGCAGTGGTGGCACTCCTGCAGGGGCTGAACAGCGATGGAGTCCCCAAAGAGGAAGAGGAGTTGGGAGGCTGCAATAACAACACAGAGCCTGAGGATCAGGAGGAAGCATGGGATGAGGATGACAGAAAGAATGGAGCTTTATCTGCTCAGCCGTCAGTGAAGGTAAGGTCTCGTGGGGAGGGGGGAAGGTCGGATGGGTGCCAGACCTCCCTTGTGCTCCTTTGAACTATCAACCAGGTTGTTGTGGTACCAATGGAAACGTTGGCGAGAGGCTCCAGCACTCCAGGAGAGACATTCTGAGGGTGGGAGAGCTGAAGTTCCTTCTGGGGCTCATATGATTGTCCAAGAGCTGTGCCATGTTGCTTATGTCTGACTCCTTGTGCTGTATCCGGATTCTTGCCCCCTCCCCATTACATGTGATGCTGTGTTCTGTGCTGCGAGAATAGTTCTTCTGTCCCATCGCTGACAGGTTGCTCCATTCCTTTCAGTCGCCTTCTGGCTCTCTGGTTGTTGCACCACATTTGTAACCAGAGGAGCTTTATCCCTGGGTGGATCTAATCTCAGGCTCCTCACACTTGTCTTTCTGCCACGGTGCTCCCTGGAGAGGAGGGGGTAGTGAGAGCAGACAGGAGCGTTCCCCTGACGTGGGTTCCACCCTGTGCCTGCCCCAGCGCAGATACAGTCTGATGGAGTGTGCATCGGGATTTGGGAGAACTTGTGCTCTGGAGTTTTGCCATTTCCATGAGCCTTGGGGCCACAATGGGCTTTTCTGGTTATGCTGGGGGCTGATGAGACAGGAGGTCCTTGGCTCTCCCCAGCTGAATCACCATGTTTGGCTAGGGATACCAGGAGATTCCTGCTTGAAGAAGATCCTCCCAGTGGAATAGGAAAGATGAGGGACACTGCATGAGGCCAGACCAGTTCTTGCTGCAGCTGGTGTGATGGTTTTGTGAGGTGTGTTTGGCAGGTGGGGATTAGGATGTGGCTGAATCTCCATCGTAGTCTGACACCAACAAGTCTCAAGGGTGAGGTGCTAGTCTCTGAACGGGTGGAAGATGCTGGAGTAAAATCCATTTTTGCTGTTACCGCAAGCACTCCAGACTGTTGGGATCGTTTCCACCCCATGCTGGAGGTCGGATTGCTCAGGGAAGGTTCTTGCACTCAAATTTGCTTTTGGAGCCCTTCTCTCAGCAGATGCTTGCCTTGCTGTGTCTGAGCTGATACAGCTCGTTCCTTGCTCCCTAGGGACGAGACATGTAGTTTCCTTACTGGTTGTGAAGTTCTTCAGAAGGAAAAGGAGTTGCTGCTGCTCGTAAGAATGTGTGAAGCCATCTTGAGTCCCCTTCATCCCAGACCTGCCATCTGTGGGAAATGCCCTCACCCAAAAATCTTGTTTTAGTCCAGGACTCACAGCTGAGGATGCACTGACCCATTGGCACAGCCTGTAAAGTCTACATAGGTGCTGAGACCACGGGTTTGGTGTATCTATCAGGTACTTTTGTTATTGACAAAGCCTTCTGCCTGGAAATCACTGTTTTTTCCTTTTTGTGGGGCTGGGCTGGATGCTGCTCCATGAAGGCAGATTGATTAGCTTGCCTCCTGAGCCATCTTCCAAAGTGGGAGCAGTGCCCCTGTGCAGTGGGGTTTCAAGTAAGAGGTGCTGCATACATGCACTGAAGAAGGAGGCGGGACAGGGTGTTAAGTAGGCTGAATCCTTAAACCAGAGGGTTTTCTGCAAAGACAGTTGGTTTCCAAGTGACAGGATGCACTGTTCCTCCGAAGGCTCTTCACTTTGCAGGAGGGACCAGTGCAGTTTGCTTTGGGATTGCTTCCTTCCTGTGCAGCAGCTGGGTGGCACCAGAGATCCCTTTGTGCTTTCCTCCCGTGTTGTTTAATCCTTCCTCCTTCACCGAATGACTTGGTACAGAGGGGGCACAACCAGCTAGTAGTGTTCAGCTTGGGAGCTTGGCGGTCACAGCCCCAGAGTGCCAACACAGACGAAATACGGCCTTTAAGACGCAGCTTCCAGTGACCTGGGCCAGAGCAGGCTGGCACTCTGCGTGCTGTGACCCCCCGGAGCAGCCCCGTTGCTGGTCTGCGCTGGTGGGGGGTCACCAGGAGTGGTGTGAGTGGGGTCTGCTCTGGGGCTCTGCGGCCAGACCTGTCGGAGCGGCGTGTGTTTGCGTGTTGGGTGGTGGTGGTAGTGGTGGCGGGTTTGGTTGATGCTCCACTAATCCGCATGCCTCTTTGCTGGTTCCTGTCCTAACAGGGGGTGTCGTTTGATCAAGCCAATAATCTGCTGATTGAACCTGCTCGCATTGAGGAGGAAGAGGTCTGTACCACTCCTACTGTTCTCCCTCTGACAAAAATCATTCAGTCTGCTTGATTTGCTTCCCAGGCTCACCCGTTGTTGTAGGGGAAACTCTGATCTCTCTGGGTCAAGTGGCTTCTGGACCTGACTGATCACAACCACACCATGATTGTTTCCTTCCCTGCTTTCACCTCCTTTCCCTAGTTTTCCATACCTGCGGTGAGAATGGCTGGTGCAGCA